CGATCCTAGCACCGGGAAACTGACTGAAAGAAACCTGAGCTCCTGAATCTTTTTCCATCGCTCCCTCAAGACGCTTGACGGGTGTTCGGGTGGTGATGAGAGCATCCTCTCTGCCTTGGAAAACGAGTTTGCACGGTTACAGTTCCCTTCCTCTTCTATCGGTTCGAGTTACCTCGTGATGCTGCTCTGAAGAAGGGGGCTAATGGCAGGGGGAACCTTGATCCTTCCTTTGGTGTCTGGGACAAGTCGGCACCTCTCCGTATCCAGCACCGTATATGTCTTCGGCATAACTGTTAGAAACCAAGGAAAATCGTTGAACTGACTGATATTATTTGCACTCAATCAAACCAAACAACAATAAAATCTAGATTCAATAGCAAAATAGAACAACTCACCGAAGAAGGGAACTTGAGCTTCATGAGTAACGCCACCAGGGAAATGACTCTTTGCTTGTACAGTTCCCCATAAGTCTTTTATCCTCTGGAAGCGCCGCCTCCAGCTGGAATCGTCCTCCTTCCCCCCCACCTCCCACTCCCCCCTCTTGAGATGTGTATCTGCCCTCCGACCTTCTAACGATCCTATCTGCATCATGACCGTTAAAAAATGGCAGCCGTTACACTGCCGAGGGATCTCCATCGACCCCCAACGTCTTCCCTAATACGCCGTAGATGATTCCTTTACGTACTCGTTGATACTCATGCCTGTGAGTGCACGAGAATCAGGCCCAACCGTACAATCCATATTCGCTATGGGTAGCTTTCTGGCTCCTTAAATGAGGATAATAGTAAAATCCACTGATTGAAACACTTGAGGTACCATTATACTTTCATTCCAGCATCCGGAGTATTCCAGCAACTGAAAGTACCGAAATTTCTGCTTCTGGCAGTTTGATGAAAGAACAAAACAGGTTGTCTTTTTTTTTTAAACCTACCATATTGGAATATTGTCTTAATATAAGTCCCAAGGAAAGTTTATTTCTGCCCGCACTGCACCGCTCGCCCACGGCGTGTACGTACGCATATCAGGGCGATTATAAATTTTATTCACTTCTTTTTTTTCTTGGAGATAGAAGTGGAACTGTGATGTTTATCAGGCATACGGTATAGTATCATGCTTCAACCTCAAGCGCAATGACTTTCGCAGTTGCTGTGTTATAAAATAAGAGGAAAGCTTTGTCCTCGCCGGTTTCCTGTTCATTTCATGCATGTGGCGAGGCAAGGCAGCAAAAGCAGATCAGGCGACGTGACAATCCTTTCATTTCAAGTTTATTGTCGTAATGGCCATTTCTATCATGGAAACTGGCACATCTGGAGTCTGATTACCTTCGGTAATTAGATGCGACCACCCTTGCTCGTTTTTGGGTTATTTTCTATCACTTTTTCTGTTTGATTGACTTCATTTTTTGGGCGATTCCATTCAATTCTTTCAATGCTTCTCATTTTGGTTATCTCCCACATGTTTTTGCATGAAGCATTGAACTTCCATGCTATCAATTACGGCGTCATTTGTTATGTGCCAAGCTATACTAGCGTCAAAAAAGGAACGTAACAGGGTAATGCAGGGTTCGCCCACGTATTAGGAGCAGTGATGGCATTGTATCCGTTCTTTCTGAGAAAGCCAACATTAAGGATTCAGCGATTCAGATGCGCTCACGTGGCCTTCACCGGGTTGAACCTTCAAGGATGTAGCAATTCTCAAGGTCAACTGTTCGCCAGTTTTGTTCGCCAGTTTTGATGAAGTGCCGATTCAACGAGGTACATGCCACACGAGCGCATCTGAGTCGCCGCACAACTTCGTGTTGCGTTACACCATCTTGGAGAAATTTAATCACCAGGTCCTTATAATGCTGCATTAGCCTCGGCATATCTCTGATATTTTTCGAAGACGCGACATGCGAAGACATGCGTGGTGAAATCAATCCGATTTTTGCTCTGGAAATCTGGACTTTACGCACCCGAGTAGCAATGGATGATCCAAATCTCGTCCTTGGACAGTCTACGGATCCATATCTTGTCAGTAGATTTTAGCTTAATCTGGGAAATATTTCCCTACACTTCCACTCAATCATTTCGATTTTTATTGAATCATGGCTTTATGGAATGACGACATGAGCATCTGATCGTGCGAGTTCCTTTTTTTTTTCTTCAAATCGCTCATCTTAGATTGAAATCCGTAACTTCAGGCATCATATCAATAGTGTGGCATTTTTATTGGATCATTCCAGTATTCGAATTTTGAAAGAAAGGATGGGTTCGTTCGTCTTGGGACTGGGCGACTTGGGGAATGGACACCTTAGGGCCTTCCATTGGATGAGATTGGATGGACCGAATTGAAATGGGCTTCCGTCAGGTCTGACATCTTGTGGTTTATTCAATACAAATGAAGTTCTAACGACATAGGCGGGATCCCGCGAAATTATTCGCAGCTGTACGCGTCTCGATTCCCCTCATGCCGATGGATGGTTCCGCAAGGGCTGGAATGTTGCGTGGTCTAGTAATTTAAGACTTTCCGAAGTGACCTATGTTTTCATCGCTAGCTTCGGAGATGAGTATGGGAAGTAAGTGTGCGACCCTACGCGTTTCTTGAACATATAAAAATAGCAGAGCGTCTCCTGTCACTTTCGTCGTAATTACAAGGGTCTGAAATAGTGACTTTTTGAAGTCTCGGCATACACTAACATCTATTTCAGATCCACAGCAGATCTGAGAGAGGAATAAAAAAGTAGAAAGGTTTCTCGGTATTTGCGGGGGAAAATGAGGGGGCACATCAAGAAAAAAGGGTGACAAATGGCACCCATTTCTTCACTCATCACAAATTCTCTGCCTTTTATGGTTGTCTGGTGCGGGCGTGATATACGACTGTTCTATTTGACTTCCCCTGTGTCTAATATGCTTTTCACTTGAGTACAATGCAGAGAAGTGTTTCATTTTTCATTATGTCCTTGTTTTCCTTGGAACATTTATTTTGGAGCAAATTACGAGAAAGCACTTGGGAAGAAATCGAATGCCGAAGAGGAAGTGAATAAACTCATCAAGAAATTCAATGTAGAGAGAGTTAACGTTCTAAACCTGACGACGTCTGCACACGAGTGCCTGTAGAAACTGGATAAAATAGCTTTGAAGCCCGATCCTTTAAGCGTCACAGACTATATCGATCTCATGATTGCGACTGAGGAACAAAATGTTGAACCTGGCTATGACCAAAGGATCAAATATCTTAAGGATGCACGCGGCAATGCGGAATTGACACAGAAACTTAGGAATGATTTTGATCCGTTTGAGTCACATGTGGAAGATTTCGAGAAACAAGGATTGGATATTTCCCGCTCGGAACCTGCTACTTCGTCTATTAGAGGACCTGTGGCTGCCCCTAGGAGAATTTTGGTAAGCATGGCTTCAACAATATCTTAGATATGACAAAAGCTTTAATTCAGTTGCACTAAAGATGCGCCTTCGTGTTCATGGGAAGACTCTTTTCCTGGTTGAGTAAAGTACGACACGTTCGAATGCATTTGCTCCCTGGAAATGAACACAGCAATAATAATATTAGGCAGGATGATCATGAAATAAGTCGAGAAGGTGGGGAGATGCGACAACAAGCGGTACCTCAGGTCCCCCCCCC